ACGCACACTGGCGGAAAAGTGCAACAATGGCGTCTTTGGCACCCTGGCCGAGGCAATTGACGAGATTCAAAAGCCCAGTGTCAAGGCCACCCGGCCGTACAAGACATACGACGGGCCGTTGACACTGGGCGACCCGAAGACGTTCGACAGCGCCCTGAGCGTGAACATTGAGCGGTACTTTTTGACAAAGGTTGCACACCCGCCCTCGGCGACCACCGTTGTTGTACGGAATGAGTCAGCAGAAGGCGGGACACAGTCGACACGCACGCTGGACGAAATGGAGGGCGTCGAAATGGGCAATGTCGACTTTGCAGCTGTCCGAAACGAGCGCGTCTACACTGTGGACGACCAGACGAGGCTTGGCGGCAAGCGCGAGGTCAAGTTTGAGGACCTGGAAAAAGGGTATGAATATGGTAGGACGGCTGTGCACATAGGCGAGCTGGACCGCAACATTACGCAGCTCGAGACGGAAAAGGACTTTTCCATCGTTGGATTCATCACACGCATCAATGTAAGCAAACAATCTGAAGAGGAGAGCAGAGGTCAGGGTTGAGACGGAGAGCAATCACCACTGACACGACAGGCCGAGCCATACTTGAACATGGGGGAGAGCTGCATCATTCTGCCGCGCCGATTCAGCGAGGCTGACGAGCTTGCCTATTCGGCGCTCGTCCACGCCATGGTCGACACGGAAACATGTGCGGTTGCGCGGTTGGTCGCCAAGGACATGAAAGAACCTCAGATGCTGCTCCTCCTCCCCACTGCCACGAAGGACCATGTCTGCCTCTACGATGTCCCGCTGCCCTTTGCGGAAGATGTGCGCTCGTACCCCTTCCCACCCTTGGATCGGGTCATCACAGCGACCGGTGCCGTTCTGAAAAAGCATCGACTGCTGCCCAATGATGACCTCAACCAGGCAATGAGCGATTACGTGGATGCCATGGACATCTCCATGTTTGGTACCGACGAGGACGGGTATGTATTGGCAGCCGTTGATTTTGTCCCTTGATGTAAATGGCCTCTCATTTTCTAACCGTGCGTGTTCCAAAACCATAGGCAACCTGCCGAGTATGCTGACCTGGACGACAACTACTCGCCCATCATCTACCGCGTTAGCAAGGCTGTCAGCTTCCGCGCAGTCCACCCCAACGAGCCGTATATTCAACAGGACAACGAGTTCGTGACGCGTTTTGACCACCCGCCAAAAGAGCTTGTCAGCAACGCCCGGCACCAAATCGAGGCTCTGATTCGTGCCGCGGAGGTCAAGAAGGTGCCGGCCAAAGCCAAGGGCCGCGCAGGACGGGACGCCAGAAACAACAAGCCAATCTCTGGTTTGGACATTGATGCGCTGTTGGGTGTCGGCGGCAGCGGTGGCGGCGGTCCTACCATCAAGAAGGAGGGCGATGAGCTGCGAAAGATTTCGCCCGACAACGCCATCCCCGAATACAAGCAGGCCCTGGCGAGCACAGTCAGCGTCAAGCAGATTGAGGGGTTCACCGAACAGATGGGCCAGATTGTGGAGGCGCTCATTGCCAGCAGCACCGGCGAGCTCAACTACGCCCGGGCCGCCGAGAACATGCGGGTCATGCGGGACGAGCTGCTCAGTTTTGAGGAGCCAGCCATCTACAACACGTTCTTGACCAGCCTCAAAGACAAGCTGGTCGCAGAGAAGCTGGGCGGGCCCCGGCTCGACATGTGGTGGATGATCCGGACATCGGGGCTGGGTCTGATCACTGTGAAAGAGTCGGAGGTCTCGACAGTAACGGACGAGGAAGCACAAGAGGTAAGCGCTTGACATGCGTTTTGTATTTCACTGATTCGAATTGAGCCCAACTGCTAACTCGCTTTTCACAGTTTATTCGGCGCCTAGCACCAAAGAAGGTGTAAGCTCTTGCGTAGCCAAAAATAATGAAGAAGTGACAGTACGAGGTTTGTATGTAAGGTACTCGTCGCTGCAAAATGTAATGTTTTGTGATTTAATTGAAAGCTACATTTGTCTTGAGACCCGAGTCAGACATGCGTGGCTTTGTGCGCTCCGCACTGGTTGCGGGATGCTGCGCGCCAACTCGAGTTAAACAACCCACTTCAATCCTTCCTACGGCCGCCTGCACTGTGTTGTGGTGTTGGACGAGATAGAGAATCGGGGCGACCACCTTGCCGGCCGACGTGAAACGGATCCGGATCGCAGCCATCTTTCGGATACGGTCCCGATCCGATGGACACAATTTGCGGAGTTGGAACGAGCCGGGACGCGTTTGGTTGGGGATTTCTTGGTTTTATTTTAGGGTTACCCCAATTCACACGGCAGAGGTAAATGGCAAACAAAGACAACACTTTCTCTCCCAACGTCCTTCTAAGCGAAAAGATCCAGTTTGGTAGCGGCTTTTGTCGATCTCTTGGTGGTCTGATCGAAGTTGGCTTTTCGTTTAGCTCCCCCTCCGGCTGTCGTTCACCGTTCTCGTTTCCTCTTCTCCTGGTATTGTTTCTCCTTTCATTTCTTCTTCGGAAAGGCGACCTTCCGACCAACCCAGCAACAGACGCCCAATTCGCGTCCCTTGCATGAACGGTGTTTGTAGATCGCAGTTGTGGAATGTACGCCGTAGTTGCCATCACCCGTTTTGTGCAATGAAAGAGATCACCTCGTCTCGGATTATCTGTGTGTTTCTGCTGTTGTGAAAGTACCGACGTGAATGCCGAGTTGGTTTCTGCTTCTTTCGTGATGATCCGTTGTGATGATCGCAAGTGGACGAAATACGGCCTTGATTTTGATGTGTCTGGACAACTATCTACAGTCCGGATCGGGTTGCTCATGGCCCAGAGGATCCTCCGCAGCAGTTCCCTCACACGATGGTCGTGTTTGCGATCCGGCTGTCCGGGGTGGATTCTCCGCACTCCTTTCCGCCGCTGTACTGTGGACCGTTCGTGTTGTTAGTCGTCCGCAATGTACTTCGGTCGTGGGGAAGCGGATAGATGGGCCAATTAAAGACGAGAAAAATTCTCAAGACAACAAGTCAATATCTGCTAGCTTAAATCATAGCTGCGGATACGCAAACGAGAAACAGATCCAGGCTGGGTTCAGTCTGGGGTAGCCTCTTTCCTCTACTATATTCTCCTCAAGTCTCCCCAAGCAAAGGAAAGGAGACATGGGGAAACGGGCTAGGGAACATGACTGTTTGCTAAAGTGTGCCCGAGTGGATGAGAGTTTGTCCACATGTATTGCGAGTAAGCTAGGTTGTCCCTATGAAATTCACAATGTGGACGAGCAACACAGGAAACAGAAGAGACATTGGACACTAGATCAACCGGATTAAATTGATAATGCCAACAATAACGATGTGAATGGTATAAAAGGAATCGGGATCCGGGGCGGGTGGCTGCAATGGCATTGCGTACCTTTAGACTCATCCATCTCCAGCTTTTGTCCTCGTCATCTTGTTCGTCCAGCCCTCTGGTTCTTCCTTTTGTTTCCTCCTTATCCCCTCTCTCTTCCCATCTCTTGTCCTTCCGTACATAACAACCCACAAAGACATCACCATGTCCAACTCTACCGAGTTTGAGACCTTCCAAGCCAACGGGTGCGTGCCCGATGTCGAAAAGAACCATATGGAGGCCCTCCGGGAGATTGCGACAAACCGCAGCGTCGTCATGAGCGCCGAACAGTTTGAGAAGCTCTATCTCTCGCCGCACAACAAGGTCAAGGGCGAGTTGCGCCAGACCTACGGCAACCCGACGCCCATGTATGTTGATGTACAACGACGCCCTCCGCTCAACAAATTATGTGCCGTTGCTAACATATGGTCCAGGGCCCTCGTTGGCTTCCTGCTCTGTCTCCAGCCGCTGTCTTGCACCCTCATGGGCTGGCGCGGGGCCAGCAACTTTGCGGCCTCCATCATCCCCGCCTACTTCTTCCTCGGCGGTCTGCTCATGTTTGTCAGCGGCCTCCTCGAGTGGGTGCTCGGCAACTCGTTTTCGTCCATCGTCTTCTCCAGTGTCGGCTGCTTCTGGTTCACGTTTGGCGGCATCCTCTGCCCCAGCTTTGGCACCTATGGCTTCTACGCAAAGGACGGTGAGCCGATGCAGTCGGGCCTGGCCGACCCTGGCTTCAACGCCAGCCTCGGCTTCTTCCTCGTGTCCTTTGGCCTCTACGCCCTCGTTCTGCTCGTGTGTTCCCTGCGCACCAACGTTGTCTTTGTCCTCATCTTCCTGACGCTCGTCCCGGCCTTCTCCTGTCTCGGTGCCGCCTTCTGGTACATGGCCGAGGACATTGCCGGCACGACTGCGACCGTAACGACGCTGTTCCAGGCGGGTGGTGCCGTCCTGTTTGTTACCTGTGCATGCGGATGGTACATTCTGCTTGCCATCATGCTTGCCATTGTCGACTTCCCCTTGCAGCTGCCGGTGGGCGACCTGTCGACAGTCATCAAGGGCCGCTCCGAGCGTGATTAGGGCTGACTAGGGAGCTTGGAAGGTGTGACTGGGTGATTCAACAAGTTATATTCTGGGAACGGACAAGAAACAAGTGTGGGCTGTAGTTTCTACAAACGTACGTAAACAAACAATCTAAAAAACCTCCACCAAATTGACCCTTCACTATTCGTTGACAGTGAAAACTGCATAGTTCATTACTCTCAGCTTACGAGTTCGCATAGTGTGTTGCGTGAGATGCATTTTGTTACGCGCTTCGCGGTGATGGGTGTTTTCCTATTGTATTTTGCTCGACTGTTTTATTTCCGTCGAAGCCTTGCTCAATCTCACGCGCAATGGGAATTTATCATTGTGGCTCAACGTGGAGAGCCCCAACTTGTCACACTTTTCTACAGCTCTTGCAAGGCCCGGTCTGGTCCGATGTGCTCTCGTCTCTTGTTTTCTCCACAATTCACATTGCAGTCAAGATTTAATATTGTCCAAATAGCTGTGATATATTCTAGCCCAAGAGCATCGCAAATATTCCCTTCGAGTATGAAAGGGGTGTAGTACAATACTCTGGCTTTGAAATAAAACTAGAATGACGACTTCTGCCCGGGTGGTGGTCTACACGGCACCTGCCCAGCGTTGTTAGCAACATTCGTCCGCGCACCGAGGGCCAGCAGCGCCGCGGTCGACCGCGGCAATCGGTAGGCCATGGCGAAGTGGAGCGGCGTGTTGCCGTTGGCGTCGGCCTCGTTTACGAGGGCGATGCGGGTAGCTGCGTTGTGCGCATCGACTTTTGCATCCTCGCCACGCTGGTTGTATCGTTGTAGTAGTCTCGTGAGCACGGCCAGTATGTCGGTGGATGCGTCCACGGTGTAAGCCAACTGGGACGCCTCGTGTGTATAACTACAGTTATTGACACGGGAGACAGACGAAAAGAGGGCAAGGATGATGCCGGGGCCATTTCGGCCGGGTAGAACCTCGATGTCAGCGCCTAGCTCGACCAGTGCCACCATTAAAGGCATACGGTCAAAGCTCGTGGCCATGTGCAGCGCCGTATAGTGTCGGCGGTAGCGGGCATTAATAGTCGCCGCGCAAATGTCCTTGTCGGCCGTGAGTAGCCGCACCATGTCCACAGCTGCTTTACAGCTGTCTGGAGTCCATACGTATACGCCACGCCACGAGCCTATTACGGCTGCGTGGAGGGGTAGCAGGACAGGAACCTCGTCGTCTGGGTCCCGCAACGGAGCTGGGGGCTGGGGCACAAGGACTGCATCCGTCGTGGCCAGGAGGCGCTCGTGGTCGGCAGGGAAGAGATTCAACAGCGCCTTCACGCCGTCGATGTCGTGGTGCATTGCGCCCGTGGCGATGGGCGAAAGGTAGGCCCTGTCGTATGTAAGGTGAACGTGTGTGCCGACGTCTTGATCTTCTGTTTTGTTAATGCGCTGGATCCTGTGCAAGTAGCTCTGATACACGCTCACACCGGCCTCGACTAATAACGCGACCACGGCAGGGGCTGTACTACAAGACTCTAAAACCCAACTACAGCTAGAGTTTAAAGCCCACACCAAAACATTACCACGTCCACCAGGACGTGGCCGTGAGATATATGGGCCATCCTCGACGGTTTTGTCGTATGCCTTGTCGAGGGTCTCCCAAGGCGCCAAAGAGTCTGGTACTATGGCGTGTATATCGGCGCCACGCTCAAGCAAGTAACGGATCAACTCAACACGCACCTCGGGAGGGCCGATGTGGCCGTGGGCTGCGGCTACAAGTGGTGTAAAGCCGCCGTTGGTCACCTCGTTAATGTCTGTGTCAGGCATGCCTTGTAGTAGGAGGCGTACGGTGTCGAGGCGGCCCATTTCACACGCCTCTGTCAGCGGCGTACCCCAATTACCATGCTCGTCGTCGTCGTCGTAGACTGGCGGAACCCGCATCTCGGGCGGGAGCGTAGCCCGGTGCTTCATCAGGAGATCAAGGATCGCGTGACGGCTCAAGCGCGCGGCCAACACCATCGGTGGGCACTCCATATCTCCTGGCCACTCGCATCTGAGCAGGTCCGGCTCGAGTCGAATGAGCTCGCGCATAGCTGGAAGGTCGTCGGCCTTGATCACTGCGTGCATGTGAAGGAGATCCCCAAAGCCCCAAATGTGGTTGTAATGAGAGTATTTTTTTTTTGACTCTTCTGACGAGAGGGCTGGACACTTGGATCGCACAAATTCGTATGCCTCCTTGTCGGGTGGTTTTGGATACGGCCCACGAATTCGTTTAAAAGCCGCTCTGAGGGCGTCGACGTCAGTGTCGACATCGGAGCCCTTCTGGGCGTGGTGGTCTTGCGCCGCCATTTTTTGCTGTATGCCTTGTATTAGGCAGTGCGTTGCTCGTTGTAAAGTGTAATTAAGATATATGCGAGATGTGCGGTCATTAGGGTGTTCAATAAACAGTATGGGCCCTTTTGAATGGCCAAAAGTGGATTTTTCGCGGAAAGGTTGGCCTCATTCCATGGTTGCTCCTGAGAGTTAGGATTCAGCCCAATCCCCCACATTTCCAAGAACATTCCCAGTCACGTTATGCTGACTTGGTGCCACAGACCGACCACCGGGCCGGCCAGTCCCGCCAGTAGCCAGACTCGCCAGCTCATCCTCCATTGCAGCTCTTTGAGCTACGTCCTCGTCTTCAACCTACCAGCGCATACCGCGATAGATGACATACTATTCTGTACTAGTTCCATTTCCATCCCTGCCTACCTAAATCCCAGCCCACCGGCCGTGATAACATTCTAAGAAAACGGAAGGACAAGGGTTGGACACTTCCTTACACTTGCCTTTTAGTTATATCACTTGTAATGCTTTATTTATTCTTTTTTTATATATTTTTATGTTTACTTTGTAAGAACACGGTGCTGAGGTATTGCGCCCGAAAGTTATCCCCTTCACAGCCTCCCCACATCAATCTTTTTTTTTTTTCTTTCCAGCCCCTTTTCTTCCACAATCAAATACTACTAGGACGACACACGTATCAAAGTTCGCCTGGTATCCTGATGACAGGCTATAGAATGTCGACGTGGTTCCGCATGCGCCCGTCGACGGACAGCGGTCGCCAAATGTGCTTAACAGATACATCGCATTCACACTTGACGCCTTGCCACACGGGTATCCTTGCATCCATTCTTTTGTTTCTTGTTTTGTTGATAATCTGCTTTGTTTAAATTCGGGTTGTTGCCCTGTTGTACGCGACATAGGTAAAACACAAGCCCCTTTTTCCAAGCTCCTATTTATTGTTTCGAGGTGAGGCTAACTTTGTCGGATGTGGGACTCCAGACCACACGCCATCACCCAACGCCATTACACCTAGGAGGTCATTCATTATACGACCTCAAACCCTTTTGTTTTAATGAGTACTTGGCTATCAAAGACAGGGCGAGCTTGTAGTGTGATAGGACTCGAGTACAAAGCGCACATAATTTTACAGGGCTGAAAAAACATACAATATAAGAATAATAAAACCGAGACTAAAAACTATGTATTATTTGTCTGCTTCCAAAGGTTACTAGTAAGTAAACACACGATTCTTTTTCTACTCATTCCATTTCATTTATTTACACGTATGCGCGCACCTAATTTTGGCTGAACACAACAAACACACGCAACCAAACACACTCAAAATAGACTACCTCTAACCATCAACTACTTTGCAAGACAAGTGCCATATGTGGCCTGGCAGCCATTAGACAAGTAACAGGCGGCAGAGGTCGTACCGCAGGTGCCTGCAGCGCTGCAGCAATCGCCAAACGCACTGTAGAGACACATGGCACCGACACTCGACGCAGAACCACACTTGCCGTCTGTGGAGATGGGCACACAGTTGCCGTACTTCGCCTGGCAACCGAGCCGGCCGTAGCAAAAGGCCGGTGTACTGCCACAGGTGCCTGAAGAACCGCAACAGTTGCCAAAGGTGCTGCCTAGACACGTTGCGTCCACGGATGAGGCATTACCGCACTTGCCATCGGTGGACACGCGTGCAACACAGGTACCGTAGTTGGACTGGCAGCCCTCGTCGGTGTTGCAGAACGCCGTAGTCGTGCCGCATTTACCTGACGCACCACAGCAGTCGCCAAAGGAGCTGTACAGACATAACGCATCCACACTCGATGCCGCGCCACAGGTGCCGTCCTTGGAGATAGGCTTGCATTCGCCAAAGGTCGGCTGACAGCCGAGACGGCCAGAACAAAACGCCGGTGTGCTGCCGCAGGTACCCGAAGGGCCACAACAGTTGCCAAAGGTGCTGCCCTGGCAGGTGGCATTTTTAGAGGAGGCGGTACCGCATTTTCCGTCGGTGGAGATGGGGTTGGGGGTGTTTGACGGTGTTTTTGACGTTGTTGCTGATGTTGACGTCGAGGTTAATGACGCTGTCGACGAGGAGGGAAGGGCGGACGAGGCAGTCAGCTCAACTTCAGACAGTGGACGCACACAATAGGCGGTGCCACGGACCAGATCTGCGTCACAAGTGGGTACGTGCAGGCTTGGATTGGCCAGCGTGAGGACGCGAATGGAGATGTCGTTGGTCAGGCAAATCTGCGCGCAGAGTAGCGTGGCGTCATACACGTACCACGCGGCACATAGGGTGGCATTGGTGCCCTTGGCCACCGTAGCACCGGTCGGCGGCTTGATGGGCTGCGTATAGGGCGGCGCATAGCCGTTCCCACGGCCCCCGTTACCGTCTGTGCTTGTGTTGGACGCTGCGACGCCGGCATACGCGCCTCCCGGAGAGGATACACAAAGGGTGGCTCCCCAGCTGGGTTCCGAGGCTGGCGCCGGCTGGAGGTTGGAGCAATTCCTGTTAAGCATGGTGTTGTACGCAACGAGGGTGTCCATGGAATTGCCCGTCGCGTTTCCGATGCTCTGGCAGGTATCGTCTGGCTGGACCGTCCAGAGTGTGTCGCATGTTTGGGGTAAACACAACACAGCGCCCACAGTCAATTCCTTGCTGCAGTCCCGCAGGACCGGGTTGATAGCAAAGAGGGTGGCGCTCGAGGCCGCGTTGGCGACGGCAATGGAGTCGCACGTGTCGCCACTGGCTACGGTATAGTGCTTACCGGAGACGCAAACCGGCGCCGTAACGTCGACTGGGGTTGTTCCCGTGACTGCCGAAGCCGTCCCGTTAAAGTTGCCAACGCCCGTAAGGCTACAGTGAGACGCAACGTACGCATAACGTGCTGCAAAGCTTGTGTTGTCATACGCGCCCGAGTACGCAGACGCTTCCATGAGCTTGAGCTTCTGTGTGTAGCAGTACGAGCACAAGTCGGCCACGGGCAGCGCAGCAATGTCCGCAGCCGCCGGGAATGCAGCAATGACATCGTTGCAGTTGGTGCCCGTGGTTGGATCGACAAAGCACGTCTGGTTCCAGTTGCTCCACAGACGATCGACCACGCTAACAAAAGGCACGTTTGTGCCGGGCAGGTGCGGTGTCACGGCGCACGCAGCCGCCACGCTCTGGCGCACATACGCGATGCTCGCCTCGCACACGGCTTCGCACACTAGGCCCGTCAGCGTCTTGTTGCCCGTGCTTCCTAGGTAAGCGTCCGCCGCAAGCAGGTTGCGGGCGCTGTCGTCGCACTTGACCGTCTGGTACAACGCAGCCTCGCAGGCCGAAGAAAGGCCGAGGCCGACCAGCGACCCGGACGCAAACACGGACCAGCCAGCAAACCGGTCGCCAACGATCGTCGTGGCACCCTCGAGCCAGCCTAGAATGGACGCCAGGAAGCCGTTCTGGTTAAGTCTGCCCACGGTGACCGCCGTACCGAGCGGCGTGACCATGTTGACAATAGCCTTGGTGCACAGGTTATAGATCCAAACGTTCTCGCTCCGCTGTATGTCCATGGCCCCATCCTGGCAGTTATTACCAATCTCGCAGTTCTTAGCGTACGACTGGAACCAGCTGTACAGGCCTGCGCTGTACACAAAGATGTCGGTCGAGTCGAGGATGCGCACCGGCCAGGCCAGGGCACAGCGCGAGTTGGCGGCGATGGGCAACGCACAATCCGCAAATGTAGGGTCATCGGGGAACATGCCCGGCACGAATGGGGCTGGCGCTCCCGGGCTCGGCTGGAAATAGGGCGATTCGGTCTGCAGCATGCTGCAAAACAGGTTGCTGGCTCGCGAGAACTGGTACTGGTACAACACCGAGTGCTCGGATGCGGAACCCCACAGCCACGTGGGGCCCTGGCTCTCGATCAGCACGCCCCGGCCCGTATACACATTGATCATGTCCTGCGAGGCGATGTCAAGGTCGTGGTCCGCCGTCCACACCCAGAAATTCTCAATGTAGGCCGACGCAGCCGGCGTCAGGTGGAACAACAGCGAGGCGGCCACACAGGCCGGTTTGGGCGTGCCCGACGTCGACATGGGGCAGGTTGCAGCCTGTAGGCTCGAGCCTACGTTACCACCGACGCGGATGTGCGAGTTCCACATGGCCGCAGAGCCCTTAGCCGACGAATTTGTGTCCTCGTGAACGTTCCACTCGACCACGACGGCGCCGGCAGTTGGGCCGATGACGGAAAAGAGCATGTCGGAGATTTCCACGGTGCCCGCATCGCCCGCGCGACCAACCTGAACGACGGCGCGCGGGTTCGTGGCGTCCTGGAACCGCGCACCGCGCCCTGCAATGGTGGACCAGGCCTGGCCCACAATGCGGGAACCCAGGGGGATATGAAGCGTGTCTGTCACAACGTAGACGCCATAGGGGAAAAAGACAATCTGGCTCGCGTTTGCGGCGGCTGCTAGCGCCTGGTTGAGGGCTGCCGTATCGTCGGTGGCGCCGTCACCCGCCGCGCCCTTGGTCTTGACATTGACAATCGCGGTGGCAGGGATGCTGGCATCGGCGTACGTGGGCGCGCTCCGGGTGAACCAGTTGCCACTACCCACAGGCAACAGCGACGCGGGACGCACGGGTGCGGTAATGGCGTTGCCGTTCTGGAACACGGACGTGCCGGACGTGCCGGATACGATGTTGCCAAAGCCCCACGACGCCACCTGCACGTTGCCCGTGCTGCTGCCGGCGAGCAGAGTCTTGGCGGCCCCCGTGTCGTACACGGCCACAGGCACCTGCACAAAGAGGCTGTTTTGTAACAGAAACGAGGAGCTGTTGTCCGCCACCAGCGTGGTCTTGATTGCCGTGTCTACAAAGTAGAAGACACAGTCTGTGATGATCATAGAACCCACGCCCTGGCCCGTGCTGCCTGCGGAGCCTCCAGCGCCGTCGACAATGGTGATGCCCACGCTCGGCCCGTTCTTCGTATTGTCGCCGATGATAGTGAGGCCCTGCAGTAGCCACGCCCAGTCCCAAAACACCTGGATGCTCGTCAGGCAGCCCGAGAAGATAAGGTTGCGCGCCGTAAACTGCTGATTGCCCAGGTACGCGCCAAAGTTGCCGCCCTGGAAATACAGGTCCGTCATAAAGCCGCCGCTACCATTCTCCATGTACAGGCCCTGCTGCGTCGTGCCGTCCTTCATGTAAAAGTCAATGTTTTGCAGGTCGGTGCCCTGTGCCACCTGCCAGTGGATGCCGCATACGTAGTTGTTGGCGGGCGCGTTGGTAATGTCAATGACAAAGTTACGCACCGAGCGCAAGAAGTTGCTCTGCGGTATGTACCACTCTGCGCCATTGGCCCCGTCAATGTACACGTCTGTGAGCACCACTGCGTAGCCCACAAAGCTGGCGGCCGCCAGCAGCGTCGGCCGGGCCGTCGGGTCACCCAAAAACTGCGTGTTGTAGTACATGATCAACGTGTCGCTGACCAGGTACGTCCCACTCGGAAAGTAGATCACCGCCGGCGTTGCGGTGCTAGACCCGCACGTCTGTCCGCAACGGCCGCCATCGGTGATCGCCTTGTTGATAGCCACCGTGTCGTCTGTCTTGCCATCACCCTTGGCACCGTAGTCCATCACATTGCGCCACACTTTGTAGTTGGCTGCTGCGGCATACGGTGCCACGCCGTTCATTGCCATGTTGGCCATCCAAAACGACGAGGAAGCGGCTGCTGCCCGGGCCTCGACGCCGTCGGAAACGCTGGTGGCATTGTCCCCCGACGCTGGCGAGGTCTGGCCCCAGTGCTCGGCTTTGAGCCGGGCCGCACGGTCCGTGTAGTCTGCCCCGGCAGGCTTGTTGGTTGTGCCTTCGGCCACCACGCGTGCAGCCTTTGCCAGCTCAGGCGAGACAATGTAGTCGCGCGATGTCGTGTTGCTGTTGGCAGCAAACGGCGGCACGCTGCCAGTGCTGGTGCTGCTGCCATTGGCCATCAAATGGCCACGCCGACCAATGACCGGGACAGTTGTGTTGCTCCTGCCGTAGGATGACGCGTTGCCAGCTGGTGGAAACTGATACGTGTTGAAACGTGGCTGCTGCAGCTTCAGCTTGTTGGCTGCTGCGATTGCAGGTAGTGACGCATTAACCAGTGCATAGGCATCGTCTATGGCTGTGTCGCGGGCGCCGTGCAGGTTGTGTTCCTGTCGGTGGTGCAACTTGTTGTGGGCATGGTGATGACTGCTGGCCGCGGCGAGAGAGACCAACGGCCCAAGAGCACAGAAGAAAAGCGCGTATGCCAGGGATAACATGGCTTTTATCGTTAAAAGACGTGCCATTTGTTGTCAGCCAAGGCGACGGTTTTGGGTGGATGTAGAGCGACAGAAACAGTCAGGATAAGAAGCTATGTAAACGACGGTCTTATTTTTAAAGCAGGAAACAGAAAGAAGAGGGGCGGAAATAGACAGAAAAAAAAGAGAAAGACGAAAAGGAAAAGAGAATTATCAAAGAAGAGGACAGCAGATTAGAGAACAGGAAAAATAAAAAATCTGGCAGCTGAATATTGAATGGCTGCAGTGAGCCTTGGAGCTGCACTTGACTGTCCGCAAAGCTACTGGTATCAGGTCATTGCCAGGGTGGATTTGGTAGACACAAACAATTCTACAGAGTGTACGAAATAAATTCGGACGTGTTTGTATTTGTTTTTTTAATGCCGTATGACTTATTTTTAATTATTTATTTTTAATTATGTATTTTCAATGTCCAAATGCCCAAATAATCGCACGTTGCCGCTTTATCCGTCGCCATTCACATAGCTGTAGGCACGCCAGTTATGGTCAGTAATAGTTTATTTGTGGGAGTGACTGGAGCGTCACATCGTAGGTATGTCGTAGATGCGGTTATGAATTACGAGAAGTCCATGGTTTACGACAAGCTTCTCTCGGGGGGTGGGGGGTCGTCTGAAGTCATCTGTTATTGACACCCTCACCTTAATACGGGAGGGAAGCGCCGAACCTAAAAGGCTTGGCGGCCCCACAAAATAAAGAATTAAGATGAAATCACAACTTTACATCCATCTCTTGTCGGTTGGTTCAAGCTTAGCCGCGGACTTGAAGTAGTACGACGGCCGAACGCCGACAGTCGGGATGCAAAAGATGCATGCGAAATTGGATTGAAAAAGAACCTAACCCAAACGACTCCATTCGAGACCACATGGCCCTAATTCTCAGGTTTCAATTATGAGTGTCTAGTTTCCCCTCACGAGTCCCTTTCAGCTGGCGGCTTGCTGCGCCGGGATTACTGGCACCTACATGCGATGAGGACGGACTTGAGATGCCTATTTTGTATTCTTACGTGGGGGAGTAGTCGGTAGAGAGCGGAAATTATCGTGAGCAATATTAGGTTGACACATCGATGAAAATAGAAAGGGACGGTGCTCGACCCCTCAACTCATATAATGGCATGATATTGGGGGTTCCAAGAAAGGGGTGACAGAATTTATGTTGTGAGGTCCGGATACACGGCACGGCCAAGATAGAGAACAGTACGAGCGTAGGTTTCTCTCTTGTCTCCTTCATTTTAACAAAAAAAATCGTTGGCTCATACGCCTCATCCACGAAAGTGTTAACCACCGAGGCCAAATTGTAACACTGCAAGGTCATGTCATCTATGGATAGCCCTTGCCATCCATCCCCTATCACCGTACACCCTATTGTCCCCGATATGTCGGGGGGAAATAAGGCTACATGCTGGCAGTCTTTTCTTTTCTTTTCTTGTCTGTTTTTTTAAATTTTGTCATGGGTGATTCAGTATCCGGCCACCCTTGTGCATTCGTCTTTTCCTTTATTATTTCTATCTGGTTCCTACAAGTCTTCATTGTCTATTTTGTTGTTCGCCATATTTTTCGCAGTTGACACAAATCAAGAAAGTACGAAAAGATCTATACCATCACAGCATCTATTTACCTTCTCATGCACGTGCTCGCCACCCTGACCGTGCTTGCCTCTCTGGCGGCTTCGGTCGTGGCAGCAGAGTGTAGCGCCACGCAGCCCTGTGCCATTGGGTGCTGCTCCAAGTATGGCAACTGCGGCTTGGGTCCTGACTACTGTGCGGCCGCGAACTGCGTGTCGAGCTGTGGCGCCAAGTCCGAGTGCGATCCGGGCGGCTGGGGGCTGACTTACGCCAACGCAACGGCGTGCCCGCTCAACGTGTGCTGCAGTGCATATGGATTCTGCGGCACCACGCCCGAGTTCTGTGGCATATCAACGGTCACGGCACCAACCTGCGATGTGACCAGTACAGGTATCGGACGGGTAGTTGGTTATTACGAGGCTTGGGCGACGACAGAGCGGCCATGCAACGGCATGCACCCAGAACAGATCCCACAGGGCATTTACACGCACGTGAACTTTGCCTTTGCCAGCATCGACCCGGCAACGTTTACCGTGGTTCCTGCGGCAAACACCGACAGCGACCTGTACCAACGTCTACAAGCAATAAAGACGCGCGATCTCGGCCTACAGACGTGGATTTCCATTGGCGGCTGGACGTTCAACGATGATGACCAGCCGACGCGGACCACGTTCTCCGATCTAGCGGCCAGTGCTACTAACCAAGAGGCCTTTTTCGCGTCTCTCCTCCAGTTTATGCAGACGTGGGGCTTTACGGGTGTCGACATTGACTGGGAGTACCCAGAGGCGCCCGACCGCAACGGGCGCGGCGAAGACTTTACCAACTTCCCGGTCTTTCTGCAAAGGCTACGTGGCACACTCGACGCATACGGCTTTGGCCTGTCGGTGACGCTGCCGTCAAGTTACTGGTATCTGCAGCACTTTGACCTGCCGAGGCTGCAGCCGTGGGTTGACTGGTTCAACGTTTTGGAGTACGACCTGCACGGCACGTGGGACATTGGCAACCAGTGGACGGGCGCGTTTCTTAACGCACACACGAACCTCACCGAGATTCGCGGCTCGTTTGATCTGCTGTGGCGTAACAACGTCGACCCGGCCAAGATTAATCTAGGCCTCGCTATGTACGGCCGCAGTACGACGGTGGCCAGCGCGACCTGCACAGCGCCCGGCTGTCCGTATCTGTCGGGCGGCGACGCGGGGCCGTGTAGCGGCCAGACGGGCATCTTGCTGAACAGCGAGATTGAGAGTATCATTGCCGCCAACGGCCTCAACCCCACGCTGTATGCGGACGCCGCCGTCAAGACCATTTCCTGGGGCGACAACCAGTGGGTGTCCTTTGACGACGCCGACACCTGGAAGATCAAGGCCGACTATGCCAAGTCTGTCTGTCTCGGCGGCGTTATGGTGTGGGCCATCAGCCACGACGACGTCCGCGGCACCTATGCCAAGCAGCTGGCCGGCGCGCTGGGCCGCGCTGTCTTCATCGACCCGGCCACCAACGTGACCGCCGTCGTCACCACCGGCTTCAGCCAGGTCGACACCTGCCAGTGGTCCAACTGCGGCGAGGGCTGCCCAGTCGGCTTTGCCGAAGTGCAGCTGACCACAGACCCGCTCGGTGGCAGCCTTACTGACAAGACGGGCTGCTTTGGCGGCAGCGTGCACACGTTCTGCTGTCCCAAGACGGCGCCGCTGCCCATCTGTGCCCTGCGCGGCTTCCAAGACAGCGGCGTGTGCAACCCGGGATGTGCGGCCGGCGAGGCCGAGGTGGGCGCGCAGTCGACGGGCTGTGCCGTGGGCTACCAGTCGGCGTGCTGCACAGACGACAGCAGCAGCATGGCGCCATACGGCTCGTGTGCGTGGTTTGGCGAGCCGCCGCTGTGCTCGGGCTCCGGATCCGTCGCGGCGTGTCCCAGCAGCTACCCCAACCACGTGGTCTCGTCGACCAGCGGCCAGGGCGGCGCGGGCTCCTGCTGGGTCGGCGCTATGAGTTACTGCTGTTCTGGTAGTGCCGCGCCCGCCGCGTTTTCCGACTGCGCCTGGAGCACCAAGGCGTCCAACGCAGTTGCGGCGTCGGCCGTGTGCGAGGACAGCTGTCCCAGCGGCGAGCTTCTCGTGGCGCGGCAGCAGGGCCCCTGTGCGCTGGGCAATGAGGCCTACTGCTGCAAGGGCCCGTCGGTGGCGGTCGTCGGCGGCCTCGGCGGCATCGGCAACCTCGGGCTCCAGGTCGGACTGACAACGGTCGCCGGTGCTGACGCCAATCTGGCGGTTCTTGCGGGTACAGATATGGAGGACAAGATCGCGGTGCTGCTTGGTCAGTGTCTCCAGGAATACTTTATCAATCCGACATGTCCGGCTCTGTGGGCATCCAGCATCGACGAGGAGCTGTACGGGACGCTTTCCCAGCGCGGGATCATCAGTGTCAACCAGTTCTACAACTATGACTGCATCACACAGATCATGTCTGCTGAGATCTCGTCGCCCAGTCCCTCGGAGCCGGTCGCCGTTGCGTGGAACAACTACCAGTCGAAGACAGGCGTTGGCTACAACCAGCTGCGCCTGTACGTCATGCCTTTCAACGACGGCCAGCTGTTGCGGGACCCAGTGGCGGCGATCAGCGAGTACCTGTGCGATCCCTTCAACGCCGAGCTGTACATGATCCAGAACCAGGAGTTCGCCGAGTCCGCCTTGTGCGAGTATCCGGGGCTCGGCAGCTTCGTGGAACCAACGCCCACGACCAAAAAGATGAAAAAGCGGGAAGTGGCCCACGAAGCAGTCCGGCTGACAGCCCGCAGGATAGAGGGAGACGGCGTAGGCGACCGCGACACCGACGACGAAAGACCGACCGTGTACGGTGTGTTCAACGCAATTAGCGAAGGTACCCTGGGTATCTACTACATGCGCTGGATCAACTACCGCGGCAACGAGATCATCCTGGAGATTGCCTACACGGCAAACGAAGTAGGGCCATGGTCGTCGGAACAAGGAGGGCAAGCCACTCCATCTCCAACCCCGTTCCTGCCGGACAATCTCCAAGACAGAGTGCACACAGCAAACGGATACGTGGACAGGTTCATTGTTTTCCACCTGCACATCCCCATTGATGGCAATTCGCTGCGTGTCGGGGGTGGTGCCGGAGGCTTATACGACTGGTATCTTGGCGTGTCTGCTCTGAACATGTTCCACGGCCAATACATGTACGAGCTTGTCAGGGGCGTCGACACCGACTTTCCAGAGGATCGGGTCAGAAATGACCAAATTGGAGGTGCAAACCTGCTCAATGTGCGCACTGTTCCCCTCACCTGCGGCATTAACACTCCCCCGGACGAGCAGAACCGATGGTATTTGGGTCGGGACGGTACACCCCAAATACAGGCTCTGCTCCAAACCCGGCGTGATACTGAAGCCACGCTTGCCACTGCCATTAATTCATGGGGGAACAATCTATATGGGCGCGGCGCCTTCACCCCTAGGGCGCAAAATGGCGGCACTGGTACTCTCAACTACATATGGCCCTCTGTGAGCCGAACGGAGGGAAGAGGTTTCGGAAACTACAACCCCGAAGAGTATGCGTTTGATGCAAACTGGTGGCCTGAGTCCGGATAGCGGGCAGATGGCGATGGTAGACGGTAGATGGTGGATAGTGGCCATCTCACTGCTCACTCGGCGTATTGGCTTGGCGTCGCCGTTTGTGCTTTGTCCTTTGTATTTTGTCTTTAAAAGTGGCGGTATCTTGTCGTCGCCCAGGCCATTGACGTCCTTTAAGCCTTTAAGTATTCGAGGACTTCGCCGCCTGCGAATTGTAAATGCCTGTGTTGTCTTTAGGGGCAAACTCACCAATGGCTTTTCTTTTGTATCTCGATGGCGTCCTGATATTCTTTTGATAGTTCTCGTAAGAGACTTGTGGGCGAGGCCTGTTGTTTACTGTCGTTTGGAGAATACCAAAGGTAAAGCCGTTGCCTTTAGCTCTGGCGTGCGTGGAGGCCAACGATCGTGTCCTTCATGTCCAGCATCATAGACATGATTTTTTGATTTTTTAATCTTTTAACTTTGTGATTTCTGACTGTTTAACACCGTCGAGTCTCGTTAAAATCGCCGCTCGGGACAGCGTCGCAGGCATTACTGGCGAAAGACTTTGAATTGTTTGTGTATCTTGCAGCGCCTGTTACTCGGGGGTGGCGTGTCGTATGTCAATCCTGCACTTCCATGAAATGCGTAGTATGTTTATATCATTCAAAGTCTCGACTAGTCAGAGCGGGGGGAGCGATTTCTTCTTGTTTTGATCGTTCTTGCAAAAATAGCGAGGGTGCTGTTACGCCATGCTAACCGAACAGGAAGGAACCACCTGGTGTCAAATGTCAGAAGAAAGGATTGGTCGGGGTAAAATTATAGCCCGAGGATGCTATACAGAAAACCACTAATTAAAGGGTGGATACTGAGTCGGGGTGGGATGCCTGGGATTAGGTAAGCGCGCGATTAGATAAGCCACCCCCTTTGTCATGTGACGAGGTGAGCTTTCGATCGAAAGTCCGTGCGTAGGAGGAAATGATAAGAAGAAAAGGAGGTGAATAGGACAGATAGTAGAAATTCAAGCAACTACACACGAAGAAAAGAAGAGGTAGGTTGATGGGAGCTTCGTTCGGAACTCTCATCGCCCTTCATCTTGTCCATCTGTTCGCGAGTGAATTCACCCTGCAGAAACAAGTGAGATGTTCTAGCTCTAGGCACAGATCTGCTTCGCCATTCCATTGGTTAGTTTTGTGTTAGTAGGGCAGACATCCCATCCCGTTTCAATACCTTAATTTAACAGGTAATTTCCCCAAATAATCAACCACACAAAACACGTTTTAAAGTAACAGGAACTCATCTAACAACCATCAGGAAGGTCGACTCGTGCACACATCCACCCTCTTGGGCGCCGCACCTTCCCGCCGGGATAGTATGCGCAACAACATGCATGAATATAAAATGTAGAGATAATCTTGCACGAATCGGTCGCCTTATAATGTACAGTGCTGCCTGGCAGAGAACAAGTACTCAGGCTTTGAATCGAAAACGAAGACGAAATCGAAATGGCGACACAAGACAACCACGGTCCGGATAGCCTCAACGGCCTTAATATCGACACCGCCGTCGACGCTGACGCCGACCCTGGCTTGGCCCTCAGGGAGGCATTCAGAACAATACGTTTTAAGTATCGACATCCAGCCGGCAAGGAGGCATACGAGTTTTTGCGAACACAGTTACCGGCCCTCATGTCAGAGAAATACACCCATTACCACAAAATGGTAGACTATGGGAATCTCGCCCTCATGCATGAAGTTATCGAGGCCGACGATGTTCCGGCTATGCGCGACCTGATCCGCATGGAGCCGGACCTGATCAAGTCGGATTGGGACGGAGAAATGCTGTGCCCGCCGATGGTGTTGGCCGCGCGGCTAGGCCGGCACGCTATCCTGGATGTCATGATGAAGCACCGGGCCACGCTCCCACCCAAGATGCGCGTTATTATCCCAGAGTACCGGAACGACGACCACTATCTTCGATGGGGCTCGCCGCTGACAACGGCCTGTGCATGGGGCCGCCTCGACACAGTGCGCTTCTTACTCCAGGGCATGCCCGATACGGACATCAACGAAGTGGCCCTCGACGGCTTGACACCACTGTTGGCCGCCGTCTGGGTCCAAATCGGTCCGTCTAAGGAAAAAGCGCGCGTTGAGCTGATTCGTTTCTTGCTCGAGCGTGGCGCCGACATCCACGCCGTTCGCCAAGAATATGATTACATATCGCCAGACAAGACTTCTGGAAAGGGATTCGACGAAAACGGCAATGAATGTCCGATTGGGTGGCGGACACGTCCCGGCGGGATCGGCAACGCACTGGCTCTGGCGTTGAGCTCCGGCCGCACAGCTCCCGGCGTCGTCGCGGTGCTCGTCGAGGCCGGCGTGAGGGTGTATGAGGGCCACTTGGATAGAGTCTCTATCATCGATATACCAGATGAAGTCAGCCGTTTTCGCCGTGCCAAGGTCTACATTTCACCCATTGCTGTCGGTGCAAAAAGCCACAATGTCGACGGCGTGAAGGCGCTCTTGGCGCTCTTCCCCGACGACCACACCCGCCTCCTGACCACGATGGATGTAGTCCTTCTGCCCCAGGTGCCTCAGCCTCCAACGCCGCTGCGCGATCCAGATGACGACGTCCCAGACAACGAGGTCGCCGTCCTGCTGCCCCTTCATGCGGCGGCAATGGGCACGGTTCGTCTCGAAGAACCAACGCTGGATTCCATCACGGACGAATGTAAAACAGCCGTGGATATGGTGCGGCTGCTCACCGCCGACAAAGCCATTTGCGCGGCCACCATCAATGCCCGCTACCGCGGACACTACACTCCGCTGCACTTGGCCACAGGGTTCCATCAAATGCCACTGATGCTGGCACTGATTGAGCGTGGCGCTGATATCGAGGCTCTGCCCCGCCACAATGGCCCCGGACTTATCCTGTCCATGTTCTCGTCCGTCTCCCGCAACTCCCACTGCAGCCATGTGCGGTATGAAGCGTTGCCCTGGTTTGCCGCCGAAATGGACGCATCCTTCGACGTCATGGGCATGCTCAAGCAGCTTCTCGCACGATACAGGCCAACGGGCAAGGATGCACAGCTCGATGCGCAAAACGCAGCCACCCGTCTCGCCCTCGTCAATGAGGCCGACGCCAGGAACGGTAACACGGCGCTCCACTTTACCATGGCTTATCGCATGCATCGGTCGACCGCTGCGCTGCTGGCCTTTGGTGCGCGGGCCAATGCTGTCAACCACGCAGGACAGGTGCCGTCCGCACCACCACCTGGAGAGTGGCCGTCGTTTTAACTCATGTTGAGCTCAATAAGGACATTCTCGATTCGATTTTTCGGGCGGTATACGTCGTCGAGGTCGTATTAAGTTGTCATTGGCGTATTCGCGTTTGTGCGTATGTGTATCTCTTTGGAGCCGTCGTTTTTCTTGGGCCTTTTTGCTCTTGGGCTTTTTTTCTTGGTTCTGAATAGCACCGTACAGCTTACTGTTCATTATGTTTATTTTAAGGTTTCTGCCTAAACCGAATGCATCAGATGCACAGTGGATTGAACCTGCCACTGGCTGCCAGCACACGGCGCCATACCGCTTTCACGGCAGCGTTGCGATGGTTGAAACAACCAAGAAGGACGGCCAAATGCACCTACTGAGCATCTGCAGACGAGAGACTGCAACTATCTTGTCAGCCTCACCTGTGGGCGGCGGCACGCGGATGTCTGGCGAATTGGAAGTGGGTGCAGGTGGGGGAGGCGAGCAGATACGAGCTCCAGACAGGAGACGAAGGGTGGAGAGAACAGGAGAAAGGTGAGGGCAGAAAAGAAGGGGGGGGGGGGGGGTACAATACCAAAAACCGGCGGACTGTTTTATGTTTTACTCTTTAAAGTGTTTATTATTTTACTGATATAATTTGATATTTACTTTGATGGTATGGAGAACTCTGAGCCTGTTCCAACCCTTACCTGGCAGGCGCATAACACACTAAATGGGAAAGAAGCAACCACCATGAACACCGAACAGGCACTGTGACAGCATAGCTTGCAACCGTCGCTTCCTTCCGCAAGGGAAAACGTTAGACGAAAGAGAGTACGTTCATGACCTCCGGACCACTGGATGCTACTAACCCATCCTGCGTGGTCCTTCCCTACGAAGAAGAGACATTAATACGTCGTAATACGGAAAATGCCATTGCCCTTTCCATTCTCCATCTTGTCTACACGGTACAGAGCATGCGTGCCAGGCGAGGGAGGAACAGGGCAGCAGGGGGAGAAAATAAGAAATAAAAAGGTGAAGAACGACTGGTGCGGAATGGAAAGAAGAAAAGAAGGAAAGAAGGGAAACGAGGGACAAGTCAAGGGCCATGCACGGGCCAGTTAACGGCGACCTAGGCGAAATGAGGACTAGCGCACTGCGGTTGCTTGGTCTTTCCCTTTCCTCGTTTCTTCGCCCATTACGACGTATATCTCGCAGCGTCATGGAAGGACGTCCCAACAAAAAACTCGGATCATGTGACAAAAGTGACTAAAATAGGTCATGTGATCAATCCGTCAGGAACGCGCGCGATTACCCGCGCGTCAAAAAAGTGAGGCTACAAAAATACATCACGAAGAATTCGTTAAAATGACCACGTTTTATATTAAGTAGAAGAAAATTATTTTTATGTTATAAATATATTAATTACACGTTGTTTTTTAGTACCTTTTTTATTTTTTCCGATTTTTTTTTTATAAAAGTGGTGTAATAACCGAAGTGTAAAGGAATAAGTGCCTTAGACCAAAATAGGGTGACCGTAGGTATGGCTCAGTAAAGGAAAAGAATAAAGAAGATAAGAATTTAGGTATTGTCACGCGCAGACTCCCTTTACGGGAGTCTGGCATTAAGCCAAGTCACGTGTTGCTTAGTGAAACCGTGTGACGACCATTTAAGACCTTTTCTCCGACCTCTAATTCAAGTAGATAGTTTACAGAATCAACAATCATTCATCACATATTACATCATACTATTATTCAGGACCTACACCATAGTACGGTATTCTGAATCGTGATCCATGTGAGACCTTATTTCTTGTTCCGTTACCTGGCATCTCGAAGCCAGTAACGTATTACGCCTGCGCGTAATAGATTAATTCACGGTTTATGAAATTATATTTGTTTAGTTACATCGGACAAAAAGTCAACAACTACAATCAAGATACGGAAAACAGCGAAAATTGACTTCAGAGCCAAAAGTGGCATTTTTTCATATTCAGCGGTACAATTACTTTCCCCTTCAGTTAATTTTTAAGACCCCTCTGACTTTCTTCTGACTTCGCGGCATGTCACCAGTTGCACCTGCCTTAGTCTCGATTCTCCGTTCCTGCCGTAGTTGTTAAAAAGCGGGGCAACGGCGTGTCGTTTTGTGTCACAGCAGGAAGGAGCGACGTCCCTTGATGTCCTTCGACAAATGCAAACCAAAACGCAATCTCTCTATTTCAACAAACCGGCCTGCAAACAAGATGTGCGGACTAGACGCAAAGACTTAAGATAGCCTAAAAAATAGCAGAGACGTAGTGCTCTGTCTGCTCAAGGGTAAGTTCTACGATGCCATTGCTGCTTCAAGTTGGCATTTAAGCGAGATCTGAGGCTAGGTCAATTGTCACATTGGACCTCGACAACTCCTTCATGCACAGCACTCCTGATGCTTCCTTAACCCTACTACTACCTGAAAGCTTCAAACGATCTACTAGGCAAAGTTTTCATTTGTCTAATTAACTTAGTAGACGGCCGCTTTCGACCCTCCTTGCGCTAGAAATGGAGGAACGCACGACCCTCTATGACCGCGTCCGGGCAGCGTACGACCTTGGTGAGAACGACGACGATGCTGGCGGTTCAAAAATCACTGACCTGCCTGTCTCCTCCTCATCCACGCCACCGCAACTTTTGGACCATCTGAGAGAGCTAAAAGTCAACTCCATCCGCGTCCAATTTGACCCCGACGACCAGTCGGATGACGAGGTCGTCATCACGTCTATTTACAAGCGGGACAACAAAAGTGCCAAGGCCAATGGCCCCGGTAACGGTAGCACCGACCTCGCCGGCCCGAAGAAAACTTTGTCACCTGAAGCCCCGGCATTCCAGCCGGCGACTATTCCACTTGTCGACCTCTACAGCAGCAAGGGTACCGGGAGTGTGGACGCCAGGAGCGGCGATAAGTATCCCGGCAACCGCGTTCCATTCTGCCCGTGGCTCATTGCGAGAAACTACCACTCCTGGTTTGTCGGTAAACAAAACGGGGCACGCATTGGGCCCTATTTTGAAAAGGAAGCTATTTTGAAAGTGCAAGCTTGGGATTTTTGCTACGTGTGGCATCCGGGCAAGGGAAAGGAGAGCAAATATATCCTCCTGGTCCCGACCAGCCAGTTCCGGCACTTCCTTGACCGGATCAACCAGACCCTCAAAATCCAGCTAACGATCCCTCCCGGTGCCAATGGAGACAAGTTTGCCGTTGTCTTCGGCCAAATGAAGACGCCAGTGCCTCGGTTTTTGGGCCGGGCACCGAACCTGCTCGCCTTTGAAGCCTTGACCAGAGCGGTGCCACCTTTAGATCCCGCTGACGCAATATTCGAAATGCCCAACGTGAAGCCCCAAGCCAAAGAGATGTTCGTCAGAAAGGTCGAGGCATTGTCGTATCAATATGGCAAAGGCCCCGACAAGAAAAACAAGTCGGAACAAGTGCAAATTAAGCGGCTTCGTGAACGACGCGAATGGGGTCGACAGATAAAGCGAGTTCAACGGTATATGGGAATTCGTGGAAAAATCGACACATGTGAGGACAGAGCTTGACTGACATATCCCACTTGACTGGGGATTTCTTGCGGATAGGGCATGCTAACTCGTGCCCTTTATAGTTTCGCTTCAAAGCAATAGCGCTCGCTACGTCATGCAGTCGCTTAACTATCTTTTTGTCCCTCCGTTTGCCCAGGAGAACGATGTCGTCTTCGTGGCAATGGACATTGAGTCTTTTGAGTTCGACCACAGCGCTATAACTGAGATTGGATTTGCGATTCTGGACACCCGGAATTTCACCGGAGTGCCACCTGGCCTGGGGTGTGCAAACTGGCTGGCTCTCATTCAAGGCCGCCATCTCCGCATCGCCGAGCATATGTCTATGGTCAACCGAGTGCACGTCAAGGGTTGTGAAAACAGCTTTAACTTTGGGTTTGTCAATAGAAGAAGAACAAATGAAACCTTACAACCGCTCGCACTCTTGCCCTTCCTTGCTAACTGTTTTTTCCCGTGTAGCCGAAGCGAGTTCATTAGCATCAAGGACATCCTTCCGGTTGTTACCCGCATCTTGCAGCCACAGCTGCGGGACGGGTCCCGGAGAAATGTCGTTTTAGTTGGCCACGATATCAAGAGCGACATTTCTCTGATCAAGAACATTGGATTCCATATGACGGATGGCATATTCTTGGAAGTTGTTGACACACAGTACTTCCACCAACATCTACGCATGAAAAACCAACAAACAGGCCTTAAAGGTGTCCTGGCAGACCTAGACATTGACAACTACTTCCTCCACAATGGTGGAAATGATGCAGTCTACACTCTCCAGGCGATGGTCCGAATTGTGGTCGAGAAACGTGAGGCGAGTCTCCGGCGCCACGCGGAACGTCTGCGCCCAGGGTGAGTTTTTAATCTGTCCGCATCCTAGATCCCTAAACCTTAATCTAACTCCGAACACACAGTTTCATTCCGGATGCAAGCATTCTCGAGGAAGGCTGGGACTCTGGCGGTGAGATGACTGACGGCAGCCCTTATTTGAACTGGCCGACCGGAGGCTACGCGTCGAGCAACAGTGGCACACCATTTGCGTTCCCATCCACTACCGACAAAGCTTTCCCTCAGAAAACACGAAAGTCAGGATCGCCGGCAGGCAAGACGGTGGGAAAACCGGCATGGAAGTCGCCGGGCAAGTTGCTAGGCAAGTCGGCAAGCAAGGCGGAAAGCAACACGGAAAGCAACGCGGCCGGAACCAGCGATACTACGAATGAACAGGAGGATCTCATCACACTGTGATGGCATGGTTATTTGAATTAACGTACCAAGCGGCCGGGCGCCCAATCACGATACCAAAGACAACGAACAGCATGTGGTGACGAGAAAGGGGTGTTTTTGAGCAGAGAACTTTCGAGCGTGTTGATTTTTGCTCGCGGACAACACTTCCCGAGTAAGAGAGTGGGATCTAGAAGACAATATCCTAGTACAAAGTACAATAGAAAGCGTGACTGCCACCTTCCCGCAAGACAGCCATAAAATAAAACAAATAAGACAAAGTCCAAAACAAACGCCAGTGCTATGAAAAATAAAATGATATCCGGTATGTAGTTGTTTGTTGTTACACGTCGACCGATGCGACAAAACGTGTGAGTTTCGACATCCCCATTGTAGTTGTAAATTCGTTTTAAACACGTCTTGCCTCGAGAAACCCTTAGGTAGCACTTATTCGCACAAAAGTGTGGTGTCATGTCGTCTTCTCGAGAAGTTCTTTCGCTTCGTTGACCTTTGTGGCGAGGTATGGGCTGCCACCGCGATCCGGGTGGTTCAGCAGCATCAGTGTGCGGTGGGCTTTGCGGACCTTGTCCTTCGTGACTGCGCGCTCACTGCAACAGTTGTTAGCCCGTTGTACTTTTTGTGAAACCAGAAGGGGACCAACATACTTCAGCGACAGAATTAACGTCGCTTCTTTCTTGGTCATCTTGCCCTCGAAGCCGCCTTTGTAGAATGCCTTGCCCAGCGAGCCGACACCGCCGCGCGACCGACGGAATGCAAC